AAACAACTAGGAAGCAGACAACTGAGCTTCCTATACCAGCTCTCCAAACAGAGCCTCCAAAGTGCGCCTGCGAGCCCCACATAGAGCCTGGCGACAATGTGGTTATTCTACACCAATGCTTTACCAGAGTTACTTTATTCTAGGGACCGGACACCCCCATGAAGCAGGTCTCTTTTATGCCAACTTAAAGATCAGGAAACGGAGGCTATGAGAAATTAACATACTTCCCTCTCTAAAATTTTACAGCTTGGAAAAGGGCAAAATCGAGACTGAAATACAGTCTGATAGCTCTCGAAGCCCCAAGCTTACAATCTCCATCCCATTTGACCTGCCACAGTGTCTCTGATTGGCACCCAGGTACCTGATCCAATCCTAGCCTCTCCTCCATGGGAGAACCAGCCCATCTGAGACACTCCTTCCAGGATGATGAAAAGGACTCCTCACCTTGCTAACTTGTGTTTCCAACTACAGAAATTAGCTCTTTCTTAGTAAGTGAGAAGACTGACAGATGGCCCTTTGAGGTATGTTCCTGCAGTCCCTCGGTATCCTCTACCGCTGAGGAGGACATACATGTAAGTCACAGGCTCCCACCACCTATTGGGAAGTTAAGATGAATGTGCATGCAAGGCTTACTAGATTATCTGGGTGACTCAAACCCCACTCCTCCTCCCCATAAGAACATAAATGAGAACATCTGCAGGTAGAAGCCACCATCAGGGTGGAATTAAAGATTTCCTCCCCACGAATCCAATACGCAGCACAATTTAGGAACCACTGAACTACATGCAGGACTCTCTCACAGGTCACACTGCACCTCACAGGGCCACTGAGTTACCTGACGGCAGGATGCAGCTGCTGTTCATGTGGTAAGATGCTGAAGCAGTAATCTCCACTTGAGAAAAGGCTCCTCACCTTGCTAACTTGTGTTTCCAACTACAGAAATTAGCTCCTTCTTAATAAGTGAGAAGACTGACAGTTTGCCCTTTGATAGGATTAAGATCCCATAAAACTCCCAGGTCAGATGAAAGTTCATGTTAGAAATAAAATAATAAATGATCTAGAAGAAAAATATGAAACTAGCACAACAGTGTTCAAAGTACTACTAGTTCGTTCTAACTGTCAAATGTTAAGATAATACTATGAGGACAGAAAGTCTTGCCAAAGTATTACTTTCTATAAACACCACCCAGTTTCATTTTGACGGTACCCTCAGGGTCCTCCCTACTAAACTTCAGAAAGAAGCCCTAAGTGCAGACCAACAGACAAAATATCAGGCCAAGTCTCATGAGACTCCTAGCTTTGGGAAGGCCAAAGTACTTGAAGACTGGTAGTTCCGTATTGTTGTCTAAATATAAGACAGCATAGTACACACTGAACTACAATTAGTTTAAAATAAAAGCAGAATCAACTTTGATCTGAGAATCATGGCTATAACATGACAGACAGTGCCAAACTTTCAACCAGTCACCCTTCCCCAGTCCCTGTGCCGGCCCACTACCTCAGCCAATCACCTTTCCCCAGTCCCTGTGCCGGCCCACTACCTCAGCCAATCACCTTTCCCCAGTCCCTGTGCCGGCCCACTACCTCAGCCAATCACCTTTCCCCAGTCCCCTGAGCAGGCCCACTACCTCAGCCAATCACCTTTCCCCAGTCCACTGACCAAGCCCACTACCACGTTTTCAATCTGCACAAGCTTCCTTAAATACAATCTGGAAGCTTTAGTGTCCACAGAGCTAACACCTTAGACAGAGCTATGATGATCTACAAATGGACACTGAAGTGTCTACAGAGTTAACACCTTAGAAGCTACAACAGAGAACAGGTTCCCTCCCACCAAACTTTCCTTTCATGGAACTCTAAAGTCAGTGAAGACTGGCAGTTCTATCCAGAGCAGACTATGCGAAGAAGTCTGGAGCAAGAGATGCTAACATCAACACACTCCACAACCGCCGAGCAAACCAGTCATCTCAAAACCCATTCCTCAGAAATCAGTCCCAAGAGGGAACTGGCCCTGGTTCTTTAAACTGGACACAAAGTCAGGAAAGTCACTATAGCTTAGGCCAGAAATGTGAGGGGAGAAACGCTCTGTGCCTTGTGTATTTTATAATGAAGAGCAGAACAGCAAGGCCCTCCTCAGTGTTGAGGTCATCATCCTGAGTGTCCACAGTGCAAAATCCTATAAAGACCCTGAGCCAAGATCTTAGACACAGAAGGCCCTGTGGATGGAGGGCCCTAAGCTGTCTTCAGCTGATTCTCACCTTGCCTAGAGCAGCTATCTTCAGCCAACATGGCCCTCTCTCACACTGAAGCCAAAGAACAAATCCCATGAGACCTGAAGCTGGGTAAGTCACCTTTTTCCGCACCCCAGCCAACTAGTAAGGAAAGGACATTGGTCTCTTGATAGAGGTGACAGCAACTCCCCTGGGAATGTGGCTAGCAACTCAAGATAACTTTCCAAAGTGAGTGAGTGGAGTGTTCCAACACTAGTATAACTTCATTAAAGCCGTGAAGGTAAATAAATGAGAAGACATCTCAGTACATGTGTATGTGTGCAGTGCATAGGCACACATACGTGGAGACCAGAGAAGGTGACTCCAGATTCATCATGAATTGTTCTCCACTTTATTTACTAAGGCATGGTCTTTCAATAAATCCAAAGATTACCAATTTGATTAGTCTAACTAGGAAACTTGCCCAGAGGTCTCCTGTCTCCATCTCCTAAGTGCTAAGGTTACAGACAGGCCAGGCTGCCACGCCACCTGGCCTTGATCTGGGGTCTTAGGATCTAAATTCTGATCCTCATGCTTGCATAAAGTACTTTATCCACCAAGCCATTTTTATATAAGCTCCATCCCATGAGGTCATTCAGAACCACACTACAGTGATGAGCACAATGGCCACTCCATTTATACCACCCAAACTGATTTCTCCTAGGACCAAGGGTTGGGCAGTGAGGCCTGGACATGGCTTTCTAGATCCACACCACAGACTAGCTACAGCCCCACAGAAGCTGTCCTCACGAGTACAGCATCTTACGGCTTCACCTCAGCTTGCTTCCTGCACAAGGCAGGCAAGAGGAAATTCATCTTTCCCACATTCCTAGAGTTTCAGGCCAAGTCTTTGGTTTGACCTCAGCAACTCTGGACTTCATAGAGATACTTCCGGAATAACCATACCAACAAATTAGTACCTTTGGGAGATGTTTACTTACAGTCAGGTAAGCAGATCTACCAAGCTGGATCAGATTTCCCAAAGGCCAGTTAGAAAGTGTTGACAGAGGAAATAGGAAGAAAAACAGGTGAACTCACCTGAGCGAGAGCTCTGATTACCTGAGCTGGCACCTCACACCTGATTCGTGTGATTATGTTGTCCACAGTACAGTGGTAATGAAAATTCCTAAGTACTTAGGGAACTAAGCAGCATCTAGGAAGATTAAAATCTAGACAATTTATAGAGAAATTTCAATATTCTCCTGCGTAATAGAAGAGTATGCCACAGACATGATGATGATGATGATGATGATGAAGACGACGACGACGACCCCTTGATCAGACCCCACAGATATTACTACCATTTCCACATCACAGACAAAGAAATCACTGTATTTGCTAGAGTCTAAAATAGATCCTAAGAGGCCAGGCCTCCACAAACCACATAACTCCAAGATCAATAAAACTGCTCAAAGGAAGACATGCGGGGGATACTTTGTATTTGCTGGAAAAAAAATCCACGGAAATTCTAATAAACCAAAAAAAAGGTAAATGACGGTGCAATTTCAATCATTTGATATTATCTCCAAATGGCAACTCAACCAAAACAAACAAACAAACAAGGAAAGTGGCTGGAGACACGGCTCGGTGAGTAAGAACACGTGCTGTTCCTGCAGAGGGTCTGGGCCTTTAGGCCTCAGGAACCATGCATATGGGTGTGTGTGTGTGTGTGTGTGTGTGTGTGTGTGTGTGTGTGTGTGTGTGTGTGTGTGGAGATGCATGCAGGGAAAACACATAAAATAAATCTTTTTTAAAAACAGGGGAGCAAGAGAGCACGGTAGATTGGTGCGTGGTGTTAAGAGAGTTCTCCAGACCCTGACACCCGCCCTTCTGGTGGCCGCTGCTTCCTAATGACACCCTTTATAACTGTTACAATCAGGGTAGACCAGGAATGATATGGCATTCCTCAACACAAAAAGCATCGAGCATATCACACCCGGTCCTTATCCGATTTCAGGAGAAGTAAGACAAAACACATTTTAAAAAATCAGAACAACCAGCAACATGGGAACTAAAGTTTTCTCCAAAATCACTTTTTTAAAGTTTAAAATAAATGTGTTATACCAAGACACACAACTAATGTGCCCTGTATTTAGTACTGGTCTGACTTCTCTTTTCCTTTACCTTGACAAAACGAGACTGTAACTAAACAGCTGGTGTAACAGATCACTTCCTCTCTCAGAGACTCTTTCTCCGAGGTTTAATGCTGAAAACCCCGATTCCCTGACACCTCTGATGTCAGTGAAGATGTCAGTGAAAAAACAACAACAAAAAAGATTTCATAAATACAGCTGTGAGACTTAGCTATGAAAACACTGAAAATCAATTCTGCGTTTATTTTTTACCTGGAGTCACTATAAATCCAACAGCTTGCCCGGTATTCTAAGTGGCCACCACCTGATAGCAAGAGGAAACTTCCATGCTCTATCGGGAAAGTTTGCAGAATAAATAATAATAATAATAATAATAATAACTTGTATAGCCCAATCCAAACAGCAACCTTCTCTAGTGCGGCTTAAATCATTTGTTTTTATGACCAGGTCTAGTCAGATAGTCTGAGAGGGCCTTGAACTTGTGACCTTCCCGCGTGGGCTTCCTTGGCACCGAGAGTACAGGCATGTGGCACAACACCCAGTTTATTTACATAATTCTAGTGTACAGGACACTTTCCCAAAATGCTGTCTGAGGCTTCAGGCGAAGCCCATGTTTCGGGAAGCCAGTTTCACTTACCTTCCGGTAAATCATGTGGCACATGGCTACTCTCAGCTTCATCCCGGCACACTGCACGTGGTAGAAGTACAAGTGATGCAATATGGCCAGGAAGAGCGTGCACACCGACAGCAAGGCGGCGTAGCCATAAGCTGTGTGCAGAGCCACTGAGTCGTCGGGGTCATACTTCTCAAAATACTCAATAATCTTCCCCAAAAATATGGGCTGAACTACTCTGGTGCTTTCCTGAAAGAAAAGAAAAAAAGCATTCATTAGAAGTATAAACCACACCAACTTTTCTCCACACAAGCTTTACTTCTGTATGTCCCTCATCCCTGACCTGAGGGAAAGAAAACCCGCTTTCACCATTATTACAGTAAACACGTATTCTAACCTGAACTCAAAATCACAAGCTAAAGATAGTAACACATTAGTGCACTGTGACTGGTCCAGGTGGATGCTAGAATCAGCTTTAAAAAACATCTGGCAGGCTGCCACATAAATCCTGGCTGAAAATGAATAAGGAAAAGAAAATAATGGCCAAAGAGGAAAAGAGCTAGTAATTTGCTTCAATACAGACATGCCAGCTCTTGATCCACCCTGCTTCCCATGACCTCTCAACATCCCACCCAGCCTAACAGGAAGTGAAGGTATGGTCCATTCACAAGAGGCACACTCACGCCACCTCCTCCTCCTGTTCCAGCCTTATCAGCTAAGACATATGTGAAAACACAGGACAAAAAAAAGAATGCTCCAACCTTCCTAAGCTCAGGCTCTGCATGTCAGTGCATCCCAGACCTTCTGCTGGGCTTGTTGAAAAGGTCCCCAGGGAGACAGGTGTAATCTGTCTCTATCCCCTAGACACTGAGGTGTGCTCAGGGTTCCTGCTACCTTCACTGAGGCAGCCTAGAGTCAAAAATTAAACAGGACACAAATGGTAGGCTAAAAACTAAGAGCATGAGTGGCTTTCAACCACTTAGAGCACTCGGCACTGATTATAAACCAAGATTAATAACCATCCATGCTCTAAGACAAAAATCAAAATTCTGTACCAATGAGGTGAAAGGCTCTGGAGAAAGTCATTTCTGTCCAGCGTGGAAGAACTTGAACCCTCAGTACACAAGGTAGTTTCCTGACTCATGGGCCACTAACTCCCCTTAGCCCACTTCCTCCTGCAAATCTTCACAGACCGCTCCCCATGAAAGAAAACGAAAGACTCACTGCAAATCAAAGTCACCAAAAGTAAACACATAGACCCATGCCACTTCCTCCTCCTCAAGGACGAAGAGACAGGGTGGAAATCTTACTTTGAACAGCTTTCCTTTCAAACAACAGAGACACACAGCCACCCATGTGAAGTGAGGACTCTAACCCATACACAACGGGGGAAAAAGGGAGAGTAACAGAAACAGAAAGCTAAAACGTCTCCCCAACCAACTGGTCCCCACCGACTGCATTTACAGGAGACGCCTCCGTCCCTCAAATGAGCCATGACACCAAATCTCACGCTCTGAACACACACACACACACACACACACACACACACACACACACACACACACAACCATAGTGCCTTCCACAAGGTCATGGCGTTCTGTACGTTACACAGAAGGACGCGCTACCCAATAAAAGCATTACAATCAAGGTCATCAGACTCCAGGGACTCCGAGGCTCCTTGTCTCTTCCATCCCCAAACACATCTTTCAAGAAGCTCAGAGAATTAATTCAAGAGCACCTGACACCATGATCACAATGGCTGTGTAGCATTTCCTAAGTTGAAACCTAGGGGCTTACCCTGAGAATCGAGGAGGCCATGCTGTTCATATGGAGAACCCAGGCCTAGGATAAGCCAGGACAGCTGGGTCAACAGCACACTAACCTGGGCCCTCCATCAGGAGCCCAGGGGGGAAAACTCTACCATCCCTGACACTCTGAGTGAAGTCACGGAGTTATTGTCGCCTCCTCCCAATTCTCCTGACAGGCTGTGGCTCACAGAGAGTGAGCGTGACAGAGAAAACAATGAAAGATTTGGCAAACACAACGGAAGAGGTAACCAAGGAAAGGCAGGGCTCCACTGCCGAAGTGTGTGTGTGTTCCAGCTGGGCCTTACATCCAGCAATCCCTTTAAGTACGTGGCTCTTAATGAGTCACAGAGTTTGTGGTCAATACTTCCCTCCTCCCATGAACCTGCCCTCCTTAGCCCAACCCTCACCTAGGAAGAAACAACGACTACAAAAATACTTGCCAAATTGTTAGCTGAACAGAATTAAGCTTTCTGGGAACCGGGGAGGGAAAGGTGAAAATGTAGCCGGGTGTATATTGACAACACACCTACCATCCCAGAATTCAGAGGAAGGGGAAGAAGAGTTTAGAGCTGGCCTGAACTGCACAGAAGATCCTGTCTCAAAAAAAAAGTCCTACCTTCTTCTTCCATCCATCCTGTGCCCTACCAAAGAAGCTCCCTGCCTCTGTTCCCTCCAAAATTCTCAACCCAAATCTCATGGACTATTAGAGTGCAAGACGCCCCCTCAAGGCCCCAACACCCCAAGTTCTGCCAGATGGCATCCAACCTTTTGGCTTGGTCCAGACTGCCATTTACAAAGTTCAGTTAGAGTTTCTCAGTCCTCCCACCCCCAGAAAAAAGAAAAAAAAAATCACACATACAAAAATCGAATGTTTAAATAAGTTTACAATCCTGTGTTGGGGCTCAAGCACGGCTGTGAGTCGTAGTGGTATTAGGCCCGAAGCTGGACACCCCTGTGCCCGAGCCTCTGAGCCGTGGAAGGCAGCTGTTTCTCCGTGGAGATTTGGTACTGGGTCTCCACAATTCTGGCACTTGGGCACACCACTTTGCTTTGGAGAGTCACTTACTACAGAGCTTAATGGGACATTATCCCCACTGGGCCTGGGGCCTCTTTCATGCTCCCTTAGGACCTGAGACACTTCCTGTCGGATTTTGCAGTCCCTGATCTGAGTGATGGAGACAAAACATAGAAATCTGAGAAAGAAAACCATGCTGGAGTGAAACCCACAAGCAGCCTTGGATGAGCTGTGGGGAAAGCAGCGGGCAGTGGACTTGAGAAGGGAGGAACAGGAGACAAGGGCTGAGTGGAGAGAGAGCAGAGACGATGAGGGACACAGCCGATCTGAGGACTGCATCACTACCCAGATCTCGGAGATGCATGGATTGGGATCTTCCACCCTGACTACACCCTGAGACCACAAGGGAAGTGCAAGCATTCATGGATGTGCATAATCCACTGATGCCCAGACCCAGACTGCACAGACGAAGTGTGTGGGGCCTGAGCTCCCCTAGCAAAGAGACTCCTGAAGGCAGAAACCAGTCCCACGTGAACATCACTACTGTTTGCCCTGACCCATCCCTGTGTCTGAGTCGTAGGGCGTGTTGGAGATGCTGTGTGGAAATTGCCAGACCTTGGCTTCGATCAGAAATGCTTCCATACAGCGTGCATCAGAACAAGAGTACACAAGAACCCAGAACCTAGACGTTTCAAGGCCACAAAACAAAAGCACTCCAGCTCAACACAGCAGGGAAAGTCAGTGTGTTCACCAAAGATGATTCATAACTGACTTTTAAAGTGACCTCCAGCCATCGAGACGGCTCACCCGGTAACAGTGTGGCCACGCAAGCATGCTGACCTGAGTGTGATCCTGGAACCCATGGTGGAAGGAGAGAACTGACTCCCCAAAACTGTTCTTTGACCTACACACACACACACACACACACACACACACACACACACACACACACACACACACACACTGATAAATACTTAAAAGGACTTAACTAAAATACAATCACCTCTTAAAGGAGTGTGGGTACACAGCCGAGAGGACAAGAGCAGCAGCCTTCTTTACAGATCATCTCTTTTCCAGGCCAACGAAAAGCTCATCAGCCCCGGTGGGGAATGTTAAAGGAGCACTCACAGCTTAAAAACTAATTTTAGAAGAAAAGAAGTTCTCTTGGTTTTTCCATGCATCCTACCCCAGAGCAGACGTAGCCACTGTGGGATGATTGCAGCAAACGAAGCAGGCAAGTAACCGCCACGTCACCATGTGGCAGACACCCCCTTAGCCACGAGCACCTCCTAACATGTGGCAGACACCCCCTTAGCCACGAGCACCTCCTGACATGTGGCAGACACCCCCTTAGCCACGAGCATCTCCTGACATGTGGCAGACACCCCCTTAGCCACGAGCACCTCCTAACATGTGGCAGACACCCCCTTAACCACGAGCATCACCTAACATGTGGCAGACACCCCCTTAGCCACGAGCATCTCCTAACCTGTGGCAGACACCCCCTTAGCCACGAGCACCTCCTAACATGTGGCAGACACCCCCTTAACCACGAGCATCTCCTACCACCACACCCAGAAAACAGCAAGCACAGATCTCTGGTAGTGACGGCACAGCACTGTGGATGGAGTCGTACTGCAGAGTGAGGAGGACTCGGGCACACTTCCTCCTCGACCGCCTGGTGCTGGAGACATGTTCAGTGTCTCAGGCGGGGAATGCCATCGGGCCAACCCAGACTGGGACCCTCTGCTGAACAAGCAGCTCAGTGTTTTCAACGACAAATGTAATGACAGTAAAGGGAGCTGCAGAGTGACGGACAGACAGACGACAGGGAGATTGACAAAATCCAAAGCCACTGATGTCAACGAGACGCACCTCAGTGGATGACCAGGAAAAACAGTGCTGCAGAACCGGACTGCCAGTGAAGAGCACAGACAGCCTTTGCAGAAGGCCTGAGTTCAAGCTCCGGCACCCAAGCGGGGAGACCCACAGCCACCTCTAACTCCTATGCCCCCCCTGATGTCTGTTGGCACTGTCCTCACGTGTACACACTCATACTCAGACATACACATTGCACATAATTACCAGAAATGACCTGTTGAATGAATGAATGAATGAATGAATGCCAGGTACACTGGTGCCTGTACTGAAAATCCCAACTACCTAAGATGCTGAGGCTGGGAGAACACTTGAGCCCAAAAGTCCTAGTGGGCAGGCAATATAGTACTCAAATCAATCCATAAAATGTAGGTAAAAAAAAAAAAAAAAACAGAAGAAGGAAATGAGACACGGTGAGGAGGTTAAGGCTTTACTAACGTGTCCATGGAACAACCATACCGTAACTCTACAGAGGAAACCCAACTCTCAAAGGTGCGAATCGAAGCATTCTTAGATTAATGATGTGATACGTGGGAACAGCTTCAAAA